TTCCATTTGTTGGCTTCTGATTTCCTCTGCCTCTTTGTGCTCTGGACTTGTCCTCAGTGGGCTAGATGTTTGGGTTTGCATTTTGCTTCTTCATCTTGTCATTTTCTATTTTCTACTTTCTTTTATTTTCCGTGTTGGTGCTTTTATCTTTCTAAGATTAGATAGCCTTAATCACCGATGTTGAGGCTTTCCTAGGCAGTGTCTTTTCCTCTAGATGTCTCATTGTGACAGCACCACAGTCCCGGAGTCTCCTCCTATTGGTGCTGACAGACTCTCCTCCCACTGTCACTGATGACCCAGAACACTGGAAATGCACAGGGTGCAGGCTTATATGATTCCCGCTGGCACTGCCTTCACCCTTCCTGCCAGAACCACTGCTCCAGACAATGGAGGAGGCACAGAGCACAGACTCACTCTCCTCCTACTGGGGCTCTGGATCCAGGGCAATGGAAGACATGCAGAACACGGACTCACTTTCCTCCTACTGGTGCTGTGGACCTGAGGTATTGGAGGGGGCACAGAACACAGACTCACCCTCTTCCTACTGGTGCCGTGGACCCAGAGCAATGGAGGACACACAAAGCATTGACTCACTCTCCTCCTACTGGTGCCATGGACCTGAGGTAACGGAGGACACGCAGAGCATGGACTCACTCTCTTCCGACTGGTGCCGTGGACCCAGGGTAATGGAGGACACACAGAGCACAGACTCACTTTCCTCCCACTGGCTCCTCAGACCTGGGGCAATGGAGGACACGCAGAGCATGGATTCACTCTCTTCCTGCTGGCACCATGGATCCAGGACAACAGAGGACACACAGAGCACAGACTCACTCTCTTCCTGCTCGCACCATGGACCCAGGACAATGGAGGATATGCAGAGCACAAACTCAGTCTCTTCCTGCTGGTGCTGCAGACCTGGGGCAACAGAGGGGGTGCAGAGCATGGACTCACTCTCCTCGTACTGGCGCCTCAGATCCAGGGGAATGGAGGACACACAGAACATGGACTCACTCTCCTCCTGCTGGTACTGTAGACCTGGGGCAATGGAGAGGACTGAGAGCACAGACTCACTCTCTTCCTACTGGTGCCACAGACCCAGGGGAGTGGAGGGTGTGCAGAGTGCAGACTCACTCTCCTCATGCTGGTGCCATGGACCTGGGGCAATGGAGGACACTCAGAGTGTGGACTCACTCTCCTCCTGCTGGTGTCACAGACCTGGGGCAATGGAGGACACTCACAGCGTGGACTCACTGTCCTCCTGCTAGGGCCATGGACCCAGGGCAGTGGAGGAGGTGCAGGGTACAGACTCACTCTCCTCTATTTTATTTTATTTTATTTTAAAGAGAATAGAATTGTTTAAACTGTACTTGATGGGAGAATCTGTTCAGAGTTCTCAAGACCAGAAATGCTGGTAAGAATGCAGCTGGTTAGGACTTCAGAGCATGTGTGTTACCCCGTGGCAGAAAATTTGTCTGCATTTTGCTCATGTTCAGAGACTTCCTGAGACTGAGACTAAAGGCAGGGGACTAATTTATGTTGTGTAAGAAATTTTAAGGCAGTATAATGTTGAAGTGGTGGGATGGTTACTGTTGGGGGCTTTTAGCCAGATCTATGTTGAGAATCAAGAGCAAATGGCCTAGTAAAATGATTTAAAATGTTTTGAGTTTGGCTAGAAAGGAAGCTTCAGTAAAGATGTGGACTAAAAAGATGGACCAGAGGAGAACTTGGTTGCTGAGAAAGAAGAGGACAATAGGAAAGATGACCTGAGGATATCACAAGAGGACAATAGGAAAGATGGCCTGAGGATATCACAACAGCCAGGAGGGTTCCACCTTATGCAGCCACAAAATTGCAAGGGTGAAAGACTTTGCTTTGAGAAGAGAGCCCCAGAGAATCATATTTCAGAATGGGAGTGGCCTAAAGAATGAGTTCCTCAGAATTTGGTTCATAGTACTCAACAGTCCAGGTCAAGATAGAAGGAAGCCTGGTTACTGCTCCAGCTGGTGGCCAACTTTGGCATCATCCATGTGGCGGTGGTTTTAGGTGCATGCAGAATGGAATCACTGTGGGGTAAGGAAGGCTTCCATCAAGATTTCAGAAGAAGGCCTGGGAGGCCAGGCAATGTACTCTTGAGAGGGCAGTGTGTGAAGCTGTAAGTATGGAGCCAAAATTTCGGTGGAGACCCCATCACGTTGGAGAAGCCGCCTCCAATAAAGCTTTGTTCAATAATGCCTTTTCTTTCTCTGTGTTCACATCCCTTTTCTTCTGTGTTTAATCTCCCTGTTCCTGTCTCTCAGAAGGATACCTGAAATGATATTTAGGACCCTGGTGGATAATCCAGCATAATCTCCCCATTTTGAATCATTAATTTATTCAAAATATAGAATGAACAGAGTTTGAGAAGGAAGGAATGATAAGGGGCAGAGAAAAAAGGGGAAAGGCCAATCATTGGTTTAGGGTATCTGCCTTCTTTTTTGTTTCTTTAGATAGGGTTTTGCTATGTATTCCAGGCTGCCCTTGTACTCACTATGTTGCCCAGGCTGGCCTTGGACTCAAGTTGATCCTCCTGTCTCTGTCTCCCCAGTGCTATGATTAAACTTGTGCACCATGTTGCCCTTCTCAGAATATCTTTCTTCTAAACCAGAATGGTTGGTGGGTGCCGTGATCTCAGCACTTAGGAGGCTGAGGGAGGAGAATTATGCATTTGAAGCCAGCCTGGGCTATACAGTGAGAATGTGTCACAAAACACAACATGACAAAACAAAATGCCTTAGGCCAGGCATGGTGGTGGCACACTTGTAGTCCCAGCCCTTGGGAGGCTGAGGCAGGAGGATCACTGGGAGTTTGAGGCCAGCCTGGGCTACAAAGAGAGTTTAAGGCCAGCCTGAACTGCATCATGAAATCTTGTCTCAAAAAGACAAAAAAGCCTCTTTTTTAAAATTTTCATTTTTATTCATACATTTGTGTATAATACATAATGAGAACATTCATTGTGGGGAGTTAGTATATGTACATAACAAATCTTAATTCTTTTTACAACACTTTTCTCCATCTCACTCTTTTCTAGGGAAATATTGGGGAACTGTGAAACAATATTTTTCTCTGAAAAATTTGAAAACAGAACACAGCACACATTATACTATGAATCAGGAATGTGAATGCTGTCACTCTCTCTATTCAGGAAGGAAAGTTATCTGAGTCACACAAACAGGATAAAAATGACTTGTGCTGTTGGCTTTTGATGATAGTCATGCAGATATTTATTACTTACTTTAAACATGAAGACTAGCATATGAACCAAAAATAATGATACAGAAAGGATCCTTAAATTAATCACACTTGCAAATATCTTCCTTTGTTCTATTTTTTCCAAATAAAGTCACATTTTAAGGGTGCAGAGATGGGAGTCCTCTGTATCTGAGTACTTGTCTTGTATGGATAAGGCCCTGGCATCATCCTCAGCATGAAACAAAAAAACAAAATCACACAACAAAAAACAAACAAAAACACCAGCACACATTTGTATGTGTGTACAACTGTCTGGTCTCCCTTAAAAATCCACCACAGCTCAGTTATGAATGCTCCACCCTGCTGATGTTATCTAATCCTAAATCACCTCCTAACAGCCCCACGAGTAAACTCCATAGTTAGATTATTTCATCCTTTTCTTTTGAGACAATTGTTCAGGCTGACTTTGAACTCATTACCTCATGTAGCCCAAGATGGTCTCCAATTCACAGTGATCCTCCTGCCTCAGCTTGAGTGATAGAATTAAAGGATTGTACAAATGCACTTTACAACCATTTACTTATTTTTTTCTATCATTTATTTATACCAGTATGGACTCATAGATATTTATTTTATACTTTGGGTTATAATCAAATCCTATCTCATTTTCTATCCATTTTATTGCTCAGATTCTTTCAACTTTGGCTACTGGAAACTCCTGAGTCATTTGATACACTCTCTTCATTGTGGTTTGGGAACAGTTTGGTAAGTTTGATATAGATAAAAACCAGAAAACCACAACCAGATGAAGACAGTGAACATATACTCCTCACTCCCTAAAGATTCCTCAGGACCCTTTGTAATCCATCCTTTCTCCTCTTCTCCTAACTCTCCCACCCTCAGTCAACCAGGGAGCCACTTTGTGTCACCATAGATTTGTCTGTGTGGCCTAGATGAACGAAACTGTGTATCAGTTTTTTCCATACTTGGAAGTGAACACAGAGCCTTTGCATTGAGATACATTTCATCTTTAATCCTTTTTAAAATTTGATACATATTCTTCTTAAGTTATGCAGCTGGGCTCACATCTGCAATCCTCCTGGCTCCCCAGTGTGCTTGGATTTTAGACATGTTCCCAATTCTGGTCTGAGGAATCCATTCTTATGAGATATGCTGCATAGGAAAAGAGGGAAAAGGAAATAGATCCAGACAGACCCAAGGAAAACCCAGGGCCAGGAGGTCACAGAGTATGTGTGCATGACGCTGGCCCCTGAGTCAGACATTCCGGGAGGTGGTTATAGTCTTTCAGTCCAGAGTGGCAACGATGGCCTAGCGAGTTCCAGACTTTCCCTGGAAAGAGGCTCTGATCTTTCCTATGCATGAGAAAGTGCAGTCCTGACTATCTGTTCCCAGTCCTGACTATCTGTTCCCAGTGGTCCTCACAGCAAAATAGAACTGTACAGCTGGCTTAGTTTGTTTCTGCTACTCTACCAAAACATCACAGACTGCATCATTTTTAAGTGACAGAGGTTTATTTCTCACAATTCTGGGGACTGAAAAGCTCATAAGGCCCCATCAAGGTTGGTGTCTGTCCTGTTCCACGGAGTTGGCACTGTCTAGGTGTCCTCACATGGTGGGAAAGATGGAAGGACAAAAAGGGCCTAAATAGTTCCTCTTTTGAGGCCTTTGATGAGTACAAGCCCCTCTCACAAGGACTGATTTAACTGCCACCTAAAAGCCCCACCTCTTGATACTACCACCTGGGGTCTTGTGTTCCCACTTATGGGTTTGTTGGACACACACACATGCAAACCATGGAGCCAAACCTGGTGGAGCTTTCTGCTCCTTTACCTGGCCTAGGTGCAGGAGCTTGTGCCAACTTGCTTAGCCCTCAAATGAGTGCTGGGCCCAGATCAGGGCAAGGTCAGGGAGCAGACTGAGGAAGTGGCAAGGACAAAGGATGGTGGTGGGCAGTGCTTGGGTTGGTAGGATCACAGAATTTCTGGGTCTGAGAGATGGGCAGGGACAATGACCTCACAGCTCAGGCTGAGCAACCCTCCACCATACTGGGCCTGAAATGTGCTCATACTTTGGTCTAGGACTCTAGCAACAGCTGGTGCCTTATTGCTGGTAGTCCTCTGCACCCCTGGTCATCAGGCAGGAAAGTTCCCAGTGCTGGCCACAGCTTGAAGGTTTGTGCAAGAGCAGAGAAGCAGAATGAACAAGGCAATTATCATCTTGGTAGGACAAAATGAGAACTTTACCAAGTATTTTGGCAGAGGGGCTGGTCATGGGGATTCCTCCTGAGATTGAACAAATGTGATTCATCTTATGCCAGGATCCAGTAGTTGCCAGGTGAGTACAAAACAGGATCTCCCAGGCATCATTCTTACTAAGTTCCCAGCCTTTCCCTATTAATTTTCTCATTTAATTCTAACATGTGTCAGTGCTGGAGAAACCAGTCATTATGCCTACATGAATATGGGAAAACTGAGGTTGAAGAAAGCGACAAGAGAGCAGATGGAGGATGGTTTTCCAGGCCTGGAGAACAGGTTGCTTTGTAAACAGGTCAGACATGCTTAGCCAGGTGACTATGAGGGGAGATCTAGCACAAAGTGTGGGCAAGGAACCAGGTCAGTCCCTCCTGCTCAGCCAAAAGGCTCTTGTTCCATTTAACCAGAAAAGGGAAAAGGTGTCCAGAGATACCCCTTATGATGTGTACTGGCCTCATTAGTATTCTTGACAAGGCAAGAGAGACTCCATTTTTCTGTTTTTAACTCCATAGTAAGAGAAGTCACTAAAAGTTC